GTTTCTGTATTACCTTTAGTAAAACTTTACTTGCATGGGATATCAAAAAGATTGTCCAATGATTTCCACATTCCTTTGGGTCACCTCTCTTTGGAATGGGCACAAATACGGATCTCCTCTTCCAATCAGTCAGCCAGATAGTTGTCTTCCAAATTTCCTGGCAGCGATAAATGAGTGCCGTCGCATTTTCTTAAAAGATTTCAATTTTTATTCCATCAATTCCTGGTGCTTGTTCTTTGCCAATTCCTTCAATGTACCTTGGATTTCTTCAGTATCATTGGCTTTTGATCATATGCTACCTCTTGCAATGGTTGAACATTAACCATTTCCTTTTGGTACAGTGACTCTGTGTATTCCTTCCATCTTCTCTTGATGCTTTCTGTGTCATCCAGTAATTTGCCCAGAGAATCCTTTGACAACGAACGTTGAGGCTTGAATTTTTTCTTCGGTTCCCTCAGCTTGAGAAATGCTGAGTGTGTTCTTCCTTTTTGGTCTTCTGATTACAGATCTTTGCACATTTTGTTGTAATATTTGACTTTACCTTCTCGAGCTGATCTTTGAAATTTTCAACTTTATGAATAGCTGCTCTACAGCCATGAAAATTCCTAAGGAGTCCTAGTAGCACTGGTGGTTAGGAGTTGGGCTGTTAACTGCAAGGCTGGTGGTTCAAATCCAGCAGCTGTTCTGTGGGAGAGAGATGAGGTCATCTGCTCCTGTAGTAGAGATTTTCTAGAATTGACTCCCAGGCAGTGGGTTTGCTGTCTGGGACTGTAAAAGGTGATTGAATGAAAAACACTTTAGGCTGACAATTTAAATTTCATATGGTAGGATAAGCAGTGGACTGAAAATCACAGTCAACCTCTCCACAGGAAAAAGATGAGGCTGTCTGCTCTCTTAAAGATACACAGTTTCAGAAATCCTACAAGTGACTGCTCTGGGTTGGAATGGACTCAATGGTAGTGGGTTTTAATGGCTGTGGGCTGCAACATTTTTTTTTAGCAGCCCGCCTTGAGACTTGATAGTAGATCTCAGTAAAAGGAAAGAGTAAGGTTCAATCAGACATATGAAGACCACGGCTGATCTAATCTTCACTTTCTAGGCTTCACTGTAACTAGCCTACTTGAAGCCATTACTTTTCTAGAAACAGAATCTCTGGATTCATATAACAGCTGCTCAGAATAAACCTTATGCTTCAATTTTTTTGAGCTTTGATTATTTTTAACACCATTTTCATAGAAGTTTTAGATTTTCCATAATTCATGAAAAAATTAAAACTAGATCCATCTACGCTGAT